GTGGTCAGGACAGTGTCGACGATGCGTTTTCACCATTCTTCATGTAAATGTGTCGGACGGAGACATACTGCACTAGCATTTTAACAAGCTTCTTGTACTAAACAAGAGGATTGCGGACCACACTCGGGTAGCGAGAGCCCAATCTTTGTGATGGAATGCTCCATCGAATGTCCAGAACTAAATCTCAAGGACCACCTTTCCTTTCACTCACATGCTCATCGTGCGTTCGTTTCGATGGACCGGACGCAAGGTCGATGGCCATCATGGCTCGTACACTCGACATGGATGGCTCTGATTGGTCCACTCATCAGGAATTCACCAATCATTGTCGAGGGATGCTGTACGACAAACATGTCACACGTTGCATCGCTCGCTGCTGCCGGCATATCCCGCTCGTCGTTCTGCCCGTAACTGCGTCCATGGGAATCCTTAAGTCGAGAAAGAATTGCCGCAAGATGCATCCCTTCGTCAACGAATGCGACCCCACTTCTCATGAAAGCAGCGTCGCTCGAAAAGTGGCAATGTCACGTCAGCTGTGGCTGTGTTGTGAGGGAATGCGTTCGTCATTCCAAAGACACCGTTTCCGATCAACTCCTACCAGTGAAGGCCATCATCGCGGCAACGGCAATTCATGCCGTGGGTGTATAGATTGACGTGATGCATGCAGAAAGTTCAACACAAGTGAGGATGTCCGTTGCGACGTTGACGGCGCGACTCGATCAAAACGCTTGACAAATACTGATAGCACCATACATGGAGCATCCAAAGTGTTGATGCATTGCGGTGGTAAAATTTGCAGCGCTATTTTGTGTCGCTCTACCTGTGCTGATAAAATGAGATTCGAGATGATGAAAAATAGTAGCACTTCTTGGTTTCGATCCAAGGACCTTTGGGTTATGAGCCCAACACGCTTCCTCTGCGCCAAAGTGCTTTTTAGGTTTCGTCCTACAAATATATTTAAAACAAATTAATGGTTCCACCCCTTTGTCTTAATATTGGCAGCATGGAGTTTCAAGGGTTTCCTCCCCTCCATTCTGTGCAATCCTCATGAACGCCCCAAGTCGAAGCGATGCGTACATCGTCCCTGAAGGGGCGGCCAAGGTTGTGTATGAAAAGGACACGCGCATCAGCAACGCTGGTCAATTTACGATCTTGCGAGAAGACCACACAGTTGCAAACCTCATTCGAATGCAGCTGCTTCGTGACAAGAACGTCACGTTTGCAGGGTACCAGCACCCGCATCCACTCGTGAACGACGTCAAGATCCGCATTCAGACCAACAACAACTCGTCCCCGATCCAAGCACTCGGTAACTGCCTTGACGATCTCTCGATCGAGTTTGACGAGTTGGCGCTTCTCTTCCGCCGTCTTACTGGGAACACGAAGGACCAAGGCGGGTTTAGCTAGAGTCCATTCGTACACCCTTCTACACTATGTCCCTCATGTTTATCGATTTAAACCACTGCCATGTTGCGGAAATCCCTTCGGCAAATGCATATTGCGCCTCGAACCCGAGCTTCTCCCGCGCCTTTCGTGGGTCGCACACAGATTCGCGGACATCGGCGGGCCTTGTCGGGCCATATTCGATTGTTGCGGCCGATTTGCACGTGGCCAGCACTTCCGCCACCAGCATGTTGATTGTCGTTTTCACTCCAGTGCACACATTGAACGCTTCAAACTGTGGCAGGGAACTCTCCACTGCCAGTCGGACGGCGACGGCTACGTCCTTGACGAAGATAAAGTCACGTGACTGATCGCCATCGCCCGTGATGATCAAGCGCCCATCCGCGCCACGCATGGCTTGGTCCATGAAGTACGAGACCACGCCACTACCGCAGGATGGACGTGAGAAGCAGCTTCATCACGCAATCGGCAACTGACCTGTAGGGCGAGGTTGGGTCCTGTCGAGGTCCGTACACGTTGAAAATTCGCAGAGCTGTCGTGGGTAGTCCTTGCTTGGCATAAGCTTCCAAAAGACGCTCCATCTCGAATTTCGACGTTGCGTATGGGGAAATGCCGCCGGATGCAGATCCTTCCTCGAGGGGCAAGTCGGCCGAGGTCACGTCGCCGTATATGGAAGACGTGGAGGCTGCCACGAAGCGCTTGACCTACACACGAGCGTGGGCGTGAAAGAAGGTTGAATGACTGGCGGTGTACATGGTGGCGCAAAGCCCATGCCAGCACGTGGTCAGACCCAACGACATTGGTGCGATGGTACTTCTCCGGCCACGAGATGCTCTCGACGACAGAGATCGCCGCTGCAAGATGCACGACGTAGTCGATGGGCATGGTGATTGCATTGAGATCGTCGACATTCGTGACATCCTTCAGCAGCACAGCGGACGCATTTCGCGCGACGTCAAAATTCCGTCCGTTGCTCATGTCGTCGAAGATCACAACGTGGAAGCCATGATGCGTGAGCTCCTCCACGACATGACTTCCAATGAAACCCAGCCCTCCAGTGACGAGGATAGTCGGCGGTGTTATCTGCGAAGAGGATGTGGTGACGGCTGCAAGCATGCCGGATCTCCCAGCTGTCGAACACATAAACCCAAGCACGAAACACACGAGGCCGCTCCAACACGCAAAGTACCTCCTTGGCACCACCATTATCTTCGTGGCCACCGCCGCCCACAGGTGCCACCGCAGCTCTATCCCGGCCGTAGCAGGTTTCGAAAACGTCACTGTCTCCATGGAGCGACCTCGATTCCAAGATATCAATTCCATCGCATATTTGCGATACCTATCCGGATATCACTGCCTTCAAATCCATCGCATATTTGCCATATTTGCGATACCTATCCGGATATCACTGCCTTCAAATCATGACTTTATTGAATGGTAGGTGCTGGACCCTTCGATAAAGTCTTCGAGACAACGATACTTTGACGAGCCACCTCAAGCGATGAGCTGTGCGCGCTGCTCGTTGATGATGGCTTCACATTTGGCCACGCGGACCTGAGCCAAGTGGAGCTCTTCCCGCAAGGTCTCGATCATATCGTCCTTCTTGGCGACCGTCGATCGCACGCGGGCGTGTAACTTCTCGATCACGTCGTCCTACCACGCAGATGTGTGCCCGCTTGGTCCAGGATTGCAGAGGAGTTACATGATTGCCACGCATTTCGGCGACATACGCCGTGTGATTCTTCTCCATCTAAGAGCATTGTCACTTCCACGATATCTCCACGAGTTGAGGACCGTCTCCAACTTGGCCTGTAGCGACTCGACGGCGCCCCGGAGTGCATCTCGCTCCATGTCATACTCGCGCCGAAGCGTTTCGGTGTATTTCGAGCCATCGAATCGCGCTTTATCGTGCATCTCGCGCTCCTTTTGTGGATCATTCAGCATCGAGTTGCTTTCCATGTCTGCGATGTACCTCTTGCAGCGTTTGGACACAACGCGCGAGCCTTTCCTCACATGCACGAAGAGCCTCGGCCTGTTGGCTGTGTGCAGCAATGGCGGCCTCTCGTGCATCTTCGAGCTTGGCGCACTTGTCATAGAGCTCGCGGTTCTTCTCCATCCAGGCGGCTTCGACTTCGGCAGCCGCTCGCCGCTTCTTGTCCATTTCCTGCCGTACATATCCCGTAACGATTGCAGTAATCCACAGACTTGGCCATGCATGTTTACCCGCATGTCGGCATCGTATTGAGCCGCCAATTTCGCTTCGGCCGCCGCGACCTTCTTTTCAGTCTCTTGTTGCAATTTGTCGATGACCATCCCTATCTTGTCGTCCCGACGCTTGATCATGTCGGCCTCCCACTTGGCGCGGTCTTTCTCGATCTCTGCACGGACAGCCGCGACCGCAGCCTGCTGCTTCGTCTCCATTTCGCTTTGGACTTTTTCGCGGAAGGCTACAGCGTCAAGATCAAATCGGCGCGCCATCTACCCCCCACCACGGTGAAAATCATCCATTCAGTCTGTACTGGGCCAACATACGTCGTCCTTGTCCTTTTGCAGCGCTGCAAGCTCTTGCTCGACGCGCTGGCGTTCGATTGCTCGCATTTCGTCCAAGTCACGCGCGTGCTGTTGCTTGAGCGTGCGCATGTCATGCATGAGGTCGGTGCGCAACTTTTCGGCTTCGTCTTGCAACCTCCGGCGTTGCTGATTTAGTTGCTGCTGGAGTTCGGCATCCGCGGCGTCGAGTCGGTACATGAGTTTGCTGCGCTCTTTTTCACGGGCTTCGACGAGTTTCCGCTCGTACTCTTCGCGCTGCCGCCGCAGGACTTCGTCCTTTTCCTTTTCGTGGGCGAGGACTAGCTTTCGCTTCTCGTCCTAGGCGTCACGTCGATGCTTGAAGCGGATGCTCCCTGATATTGCGGGTGGAGTCCTTACTGCTGCTGCTTCTTTTGCCTTGTCCAAGTTTTCCTTGCACTTGGTCATGATCGCTTGTACGTCGGGCTCAAGCGCTTTGATCGTGCTCTTCTTGATCTCGTCTGTCTTCTTCGCCATCTACGAGACAACATGTAGGCGCGCGACGAGATCAGAGTCATCTGCGTACCCATTGGTCGCGGCGAACTTTCTCCTGGACGCTCCACCGCTCCTTGGCATCCTTGAGCTGTCGCTGAAACCCCTCTTCCTGCAGGTGAGCTCGATCGACAGCCTTTTTCAACTCAGCAGCCAACTGGTCGCACTTTTGTACGAGCTCGCCCTAGAATGCGTGCCATCAGCCTTACAGTCCCCGGCGGGCGACCAGCAGACCTTGTCCGCGACCAACGTCTGGGCAAAGTCGAGCTGCTTCTCGAGCTCCTTTTCGTGGCGACCTTGGAGCTCTTCAAGCTTGGCCTACAAGTTGCAGCCACATGGTAGCGACACCAGCAATCGAATCGAACTCTGAGTGTGAATTGCAGCGCTCACCTGAAATTCGGCCGCGGCCTGGTTTGCTTTCTCCTTCGCCCTCGCCTTGTCCTTTTTCCGAGCGGCGTGGAGGAGCTCTATCGTTTCCGTTTTGTCCTAGATATGCATCATGGCACGGAAGGCCTTTCCACGTGCGTGCTTGGTTTTGGCCGTACGTGCAACTCAATGTTGAGCGTGACGACTTTTTCACGAATGTCGGCGTACAACTGATTGTCGCTTCGACTGGTGGTGGACGAACTGGAGGGGCCACTGATGTGGCGGATGGCGGAAGACTTGGACGGCATCGATGCAACCGCGCCGCGCTCACTGCGAGGCGACAATCGAGAGCCTTCCCACATGTCCGTGCGGACTAGGGGCGGCAGGTGCGACGGGCTGGCCGAGTTCATGTTGGACGACGTGCTCTCGAGCTGGTGGGCTGATTTGAGCTCGACTTGATCGAGAAAGTCGTAAATGCTACCAGCCGACTTGGGAGGCCTACCGTCCACCCGTCATCGATTGAGCTGGCAAGTACGTTCCTATACTCTTTGATCGAGTACAAAGGAGGCGGCGACTCGGCCGGGTCATCCAGCACGAGCTCATCATGCAATGGGATCGCATCCTAGCAGCAACGTCATGATTTCGTCCCCACGGCGCATACACACGAAAGCACGAGCCTGCATCATGTACCTTGTGGTCAACGTCCTGATTGTTGGAGCTCCAACGACCGTCCTCCATGCCCGGCAGCAACCCTACCACTGTAGCGTCGGAAACGAAAGGGGGGGGACCAGGCAGGGGTGGTGATGGTCACTTGTGGGTACCATCGTTCGCGATGGCGCGGCTCATGCTTGCACACACCAACAACCACTCGAGAACTCAATGAAGACGACAAAGAGGTCCACCCCCCCGTTCCAAATTGTTTCTTACAATCGGTTGCAACAAAATCTACGGATGGCGCCGTTTCGAGGTCGATCGGTTTCTCAACTTCAGCTGCGAAAGGCAAAGTCCGCGACGAGGGACAAGTGGTCGCTGCCAAGGTCTCTGTCGGACATCGATAATGGGGGGGGTGAGTGGGACTCGCGTGGAAATGGCGATGCACGGGACCTACCTCGTTGGCAAGGCCCGAATGCCGCGGAAAAATGACACTGGCGGCAATTCCATGACCCCCACGCATACCATGTTGGCATACCAAATGTAGTCGACAGTACCCTGGACGAACGAAAGCTGAGCCGTCGGGAAAGACCGCATGCGTACCAAGAATCGATCGTGGTACGACGTGGCAAAGGGCTCGCCACTGGTGGCGTCGGTGGGGTGCTGGGCATACGCACTTGCCAAGTTCAACTGGACCGCCGCGGTCAGATGTGCCTTCGACATGTTTTAAAGTGCTGACCTCGTGTACAGCGCGAATTCCCAAACACTCGTGAGCACGTGACGGACGACGGCGCAGTTGTAACGACGGCGTGGCGCCGAAGCGATAGGCGGCGGTACCTGCGCCTTGGTGGCGCTCGATTCCATTGCCTTCTTCTGGATGGACATCGTTGTGAAAGTACGAGTTCTATTGTCGTCGTCAAGTTTTCACGAGAGAAGAAACATCGTGTTGCCCACTCGGTGTGCATACTGTCCGGACGCATCACACGACGAGACGGTCGTTCCGTCCAAGGCGCCTTTCGACAGAAATTCGTACAATGCGCTCTTGGGCGTGAGATTAAAGTCGCCACACAGAATCACGTGGGGGGTGTTGAGGGCTTGGATGGTGCTCAGGAGGAGTTGCAGCTGGGCCAGCTTGACATCGCCGCGCTAAGTGAAAGACGCATTAGTCGGAGAATCGAGCGAGATGGATCGGAAGGGGGCGTACGCGAGGGTTGAAGAGGATATGGGTCGTCGCCACCACGACCACGTCTTTTGTCGGCTTGAACGCGAGCACAAGGACCAGCGCTACGTTATGCCGGTCGAGGATGGCATGGCCGGGCTTGTGGAAGTCTACTTCGATCTCATCCACGATTTCAAACAGATCTTCCTTGATGAAGATGCTGCATCCGTCGTGGGTGTCGGCTCCAGTGCTACGTTGTTGATGGTTAGATTACGCTGAAATGCCACCATGCACACTACCGCTTCTTGTGCTTTCCAATGTAGCCGTACTGGACAAGTATCGATGAGTGGCCACCAACGTCAGCCATGACGTCAAATACGGCGACGACTGCGTACCTTGCGAAGCTCAGGCTCGAAAAAGTCGTCGAAGTGATCCACTTCTTGCAGGCAAATCACGGCAGCGTTCCAGGCGAGCATCTCGCGCAGCAGCCGCGTGCAACGAAAGGACCACCTGGAACATAATGCAATCACGAGGATGCCGATGTGACGAGTTGAGGACGAACTGGAACTTCCACTTTTGGCTCGGATGGCTGTGACCCAGGTTTCCGTCGGGACTGGTCGCCAGGTAGTCTGCAATATTTTTCTTGTCATTGAATCGACTCGTCCAAGCCCGTACCAGCCAACACGTTGAACGACACAACTCGAAATGGACTTGTCGTGGCGGAGACGTCCCCGCCGTCTGCCGACGGCATGTCGTACACAGTGTATACGCGTCCGCAGTCGGGAATGGGCGAAAAGATGTCGACTGTGTCTGGTGCCCGAGATGGTGCGTGCCCGCGCCCACCACTTCCACCCCCTCGATTACGACCGCCACCACTGCCTCGACGGCCATACGAGGTGCGATAGGTGGCCGGCCGGCTGTTTAAAGTTATCGGTGCTGTGGGCAACGGCGCGTCCACGACATGGTGGGTGCCATCATCTGCCATGGCAAACTGCATGACAACGTTAGGTGGATGACAGTACGAGGACGCAAAAACCAGAAATTAGTGTGCGACAGCGAAACGGTTCGGTAACTGGGAAATTGCCTTTCGACCGATTCGACAGCGGCATCCGATGGCATGGCGAGTGGTATGGGCCGCTAGTGCATTGCCGCTGTCGTTGGCCTGTACGTCACCTCCACAATGTCACTTAGTTTCATGTTTGTCTCGCTCGACTGGTAGCAAATTGGGCGCAGATCAGTGGAGCCAAAGAAACGAATGCCGTCGTTGAGCAGCCGACCCCGTGGTCGCGCCGGTGGGGCCATGCGTCGATTTCACAGCTCTATCCACCAGAAGACCAAGCAAAGGGAAAACTGAGCCGCATGTACGTTCTTGGCGGGGATGATCGTATGCAACTTGCGACCATGGCAGACGCGGACTTTCGGGCGTACCCAGGAGGCGGGTCGTTTCGAAATGACGTGTGGGCCACCACAGGCATCGGTACGACTCTTGGCTCCTTCATGTCCACGGCTGAATCGTTGTCTTGTCCAACCACTAGTGTGGAACACGTCCGTAAACCTCCTAGCCCAAAACCAGTGGGGCGACCCCGATCCACAAATTGTTGCCAAACTCAAATGGAGCCAGACGAACGCCGGCAAAGTCCCGCCCCCCGGAGTGCTCTACACGGACTGGATTTCATGTTTAACGGCAGCATGGACACCGTACCCTCCCACGGGGTGCGACGACCCCACGGAACCCCCCGGGCAGTACATCGCAGACGCCATGTTTAGTCCTCGGCGACACTTTGCCGCCGTCTCGCTCAACTTGGCGTTGTACGTATTGGGCGGGCGGGCGCGGGAGCTCGTGCCGGTGCCGCACGAAGACACTATTGGCGGTCTCGACGGCGCACCGCGTGGTGAGAGGTGGATGGAGTACGCCGTCCTCAAGAACGACGTGTGGAAGAGTCAAGACGCCGGGGTGTCATGGTCACTCGTGACACCGGGGTGCGACCTCCCCAACGCCCTCGAAACGTACCACTCGGGGTCGAAAGCAGCCCAATGCACGACCCAAAATGACTGCATCGGCGACACGACATGCGTCTTCGATAAAGTCACGCTCACCGGCGCGTGTGAGTGCAATATGTGGTCGGCGCGGGAGCTCCACACGGTCGTGGTTTTTCAAAAGAGCCTGTTCCTTGCGGGCGGGTACACTGCTGTTCAGCGCAACTTGTGCGGCCCCGAACGCAACAAGCGACTGAGCGGACAGGAATACGCATGCGGCGGTCTCTACCGCAAGTTCATGCGGGATGTGTGGACGTCTAACGACGGTCAAAAGTGGACACAACTGACGGCATCCGCGGCATGGCCACCGCGCGGTGAACATGCCATGACGACGTGGCAAGGCCAACTCTGGCTTCTCGGTGGCCGAACCTGGTCCACCCACTCGACAATTGTCCCAGGCGAAGACGACAAGACTCAAGACGTGGAAGGTCAAGAGCTGCTCAACGACATTTGGTCCAGTCGTGACGGGATCACGTGGACGTTGGTGGACGCGGCAGCACCATGGAGTCCCCGAGCCAAGCATGCCGCGCTCGGGATTGCGGCCGACCCAGCAACGAACACCTCGGCGTACATGATCGTTCTGTTCGGCGAGAACGACGATACCTTTCTCGGCGATGTGTGGACGATGCAAGCTCCCGCCGACGGCACCAACACGGTCATGCCGTGGGTTTCCGACTTCGATCCCGTGTCGTCGCCCGTCCGGCAGTATGTCACGCCAACGAGCCCGGTAAGCACCGTCGCGAGGACTGGTCGCCCCATGTCATGCAGCGCCTGTAGATTGAGCGCATGCAGGGCATGAGCACCGAGCACGTCCCGAAACTGCAGAAAGCTGGCATCCACACGATTGCCGATTTGACCAACGTGCCCCTCGACATCGTGATCGACCTGCGGACGATGAAAGGGGTCCCTGTGTGCGACTACATCGCGGTCGCCAAGCTCATCGTCGCCCAATGCACGTACGAACGGCCGTGGTCACACCAAACTCCAGAATGCGCTACACGATCTTTGGTAGGATTGCGCCGGTGGACTACGACGGCAAGGAATTTGAAAAGGTTAAAATCCTCAAGGGAAAGAACGCCGAGATTGTAGCGTCGCTTGATGCGGCGAGCGCGAGTGCCGCCGCGTCGTCAGCCTGGGACGGATGTGCACATCGCGGCTCGCCGACGCTTGACTGGGTGACACTCAAGTACGTGTGGCCGGAAGTTGGCGGAATTCCACAGGTGAGCGCGCCTGTTCCATCAAAAATTGTTCATGGACGACGTTCGCGGCCTAGGTGGACACACACGATCCTTTTCCACATGTCCAAAACACAGCATGCAAGTGGACGCCAAATGCGCGGTCGGCGTTTGCAGCGCTACAGCACAACCAAATCGTGTACGTGTTTGGGGGCAAAGTCGACAACGGTGTGTTCGACAACAGCGCATGGTATCGAGGTGGGTGGAATCTTTCTTTATAAATGGCGAACGCGACAGACGGCGCGATTGAGTAGATCCAAAGATCCCCAAGGCCAAGTTGACTTCCGTGCCCGAATCGTTCTCACACTCAACCGTCTTCACGTTTGAGAGCGCCAAGCCAGGCACAATATTCCAGTACCATGTGATTGATATGGTAGAGCAACTCGTGGTGCGCAACTGGACCAACTGCCTGCATCAAGTGGACTTTGTTGACTGGCTTGACGGCGGATTGCATCGGTTCCGCATCCGAGCGATTGACGCAGCAGGCAATGTGGAAGCAACGTTCAATGACGGACGAAATCAGCACGTATGGGTGTACGTGCCACGGCCGCCATGGAACTTGATCATCGCTATGCTGGTTCTGTTCTTCGTCATGTGCCTTGGTGTGTTTTTGGAGTGGCGACGACGGCGGAAGCAAGCGGCCATGGAACGTTATGCCATGAAGCGCATGCGTCGAAAGATGCGCGGCAAGAAGAAGGGCAACAAAGATGCTGACTGGCGGGAGACATACGACGACGCCAAGGACGGCAAGAAGACCAAGAAGAAGAAGGCAAAGGACGGCGGCGACAAGAAGTCCAAGACGGCCAAAGGCGACAAGTTGGACGAGGCGGCTAAGATCGCCCCAGCGAAAGATCTCGACAAAAAGAATAAGACAAAAAAAGACAAAAAAGACAAGAAAAAAGACAAGACGGACAAAAAATCCGACAAAAAAGACAAAAGGGAGAAGTCTGACGACAAGAAGAAAGGCTCATCGAAGACCAAAAAAGACAAGAAAAAAGACGACGCAACAGGGGACAAAGCGAAGAAGGAGAAAAAACCTTCCGAAGACAAAAAGACAACAAAAAAAAAGGAGAAAAAAAAGTAACGGGCGGTTGAAGTTAAGGGAAGGCGCGGTGGCCACGTCACTTCGATGGAATTTAAATATAGATCTTCGATATGTTTACATTTATTAAGTGAACTTAAACACAATGGATTTAATTTGGATCCTTCCGCCCGTTCCCTCCAACCAACCAGCCATCCCGAACCAATCAGATTGTGTGACAGTGGATCCTGTAACTGATGATTGGTCAATTTTCCCGCCCATCCCAAAACTTAAACATTCGTTTTCACAGGTGACGCGCACCAACGTTGGCGATACCAATTCTGGCCTTTGGAGTTTGACAGCGTCGAATGGAAGGATGTGCCGACTAGGGTCGGTCGCACAGATCGTGGGAACGAGACGTCGAGGCTTGGCGAATCAAGGGTCATTCGACAGCGACGGCGAAGGCGGATTTGTGGGTCGGGGGTGGACTATGTCCTACGACCGCGCCCGCGGTGGACGCATCGCGGGATCGTCAACGCCACCCGCTCAAGGTTTCTTTTCCATTCGTTGTTCTTCACCTGTCGGCGGGTAGGGGTGTTGAGCGGGTTAGGGTTTTTGCACTTGATGTTTGTATGGCGGCGTTTTTCTTGTGAATATTATAATGTAGAGGTTTTGTCGGAGCGACTTTTTGCAGTTGATCCGAGATTTGGGTTGGAAAGTTTCGTTCATTTTCCTATTTGGTTGTTCCATGTATTAGGTCCGAAAAAGGAACAATACATGGAGAGCGTCGCAGCAGAACCAGGAAACGGCGGCGCCGCACCCGTCGTACATGTCGAGGATCCTGGCGCCAACTCCACCCTCGATGTTGACACGGACCAACGACCAACACCGTCGCCGTCGCAGTCGCGCTCCCAATCCCAGTCCCCAGCAAACAAAGGGATAACTACCCACATTGATCCTTCGAGTCAACCGGCGTCCAGTCCATCGACCCTGCCGGGCGTGAAAGGCACGTTAGGTGGGATTCCGTTGGACCTCAGTGCGACGCAATCGATCTCGCGACAACTCGTTCCCGCCGATGTGACGATGCAATGCCCACTCCTCTTGGGAAGCTACCGTGTGGACGAAAACGGTGTTGCCCTTTGGACAGGTCGGTGGGCGATGACAGAGGCTGAGTACGCTACGGGCATTACGTCGCTGTTTGAGATGAAGAGCAAACCGTTGGCGATGCGCCAGTTTTTCCAGAATCAGGCTGACCCCGCACCCAACAACGGATTGCACGTGGAAAATGCGACTGACGAAGAGAGCCATCCTTCCCCTCTCGCTTCAGACAAGGCGGCAAAGGGTCTGTGTCCCATCGAACGCAAGTTCGACGGATTCTTCCAGATTTTGACCATGAAGGGAAAGCCTGCAACGATTCCCGAAAAGGATGTGACGCTGACTTTCCAAAAGTGCGACTTGGACAACGTGTACTTGGTGAAAGGGACCGGCGAGAACCGGTTTGGTGTGTTTACCCTGCAAGGGCTTCTCGACGAAGGATCGCAAGAGCTGCGACTTTACAAGGCTTACAAGCCCAAGGACAAAACTCCCGTTGCCAAGCGAACACGACCAAAGGCTGAGCCGGTTGAAAAAGTCGAGCCTCCCGCACAAGTCGAAAAGGCACCACCCAAAAAGCAGAAGGTCAAGGTTGAAGCCTCTCAAAAGATGAAGGTGGAACCCAGCACGATTCAATCATCAATCACTTCGTCACTTGCAACTACTGTGGCCGTCAACTTTGCCTATGTTTCGAAGGCCTTGGGCGCGGCGCCAGCACAGACGTCGGCGCCTACAATTTCGTACGAACGTATGTCCACATCGGCCCGGCACCGCTCGGAGCGCAAGCGAAGTCTGCCGGCGCATCTTCGCGAAGAAGGACTAGCCGAACTGGAGCGAGTACCAGCAATGCGCAAGTGCCATAACATTTTGAAGAACCTCATTGCAAACCCCAAAGCTGTGCCGTTTTTGGTGCCGGTGGATCCTGTTGCATTGGCCATTCCCGACTACTTCAAGGTAATCAAAGAGCCCATGGATCTCGGAACAGTGCGTGGCAACTTGGAGAACGGCGTGTACCCCGATCCCCATGCTTTTGCTGAGCAAGTTCGTCTGGTGTTTAACAACTGCATGCGATACAACGCAGCCCATACCCAAGTTCACGTGTTTGCGCAAAAGCTGCTGGAAGATTTTGAAAAGAAGATGAAGGCTGTGTTCAAGACGGAAGCGGGCATGATGTTAGGTGGTAAAGGGTCCCGCAAGGGATCAAATAACCATTCGGACGGCGAAGGGTCGCAGGATTCGTTCTCCAGCCACAAACCGAAGAAGTCCAAGTCTTTGAAGAAGGCAAAAATCGAGGAGATCACTGCGTTGAAGGAAGAGATCGAAAAGATGAAGGTGTTGGTGCAGGATATGGTGAAAGGGACGCCGCCTGGAGGCACCCCTGTTGGTGGCAAACCACGTTCATCACGGTACAAGTTGCTGACGTGGAATGATGACAAGCGGTCTGACTAAGTGTGCCCAGGCCGTTCCGCATGCAAGACTTGACGGAAGAACAATTGACGAAACCGATGACGTCGACTGAGAAGCTGAAGCTCACGACCGAACTCAAGTCGCTTCCCGAAGAGAAGATTTCGCGATTGCTGCAACTGATTGCCGAGATTGTCCCAATCCACACGTTTGCCAATAACGACGACGAAGTGGAGCTGGACCTGAGCTTGTTTGACACGCGAAGTCTGCGCATGATGGAAGGCTACCTTCGGGTACGTCGACTTATTTCGCCTCTGTTGGCATCTTGTTCATTGCTCTCATGCAGGAACATAACGTATCGAAGCGAAAGCGACCACCAAAGAAGGCGTCGGCAAAGGAGTCGGACCGTTTGCAGTTGGCCAAAGAATCGAATCAAGCCATCCAGTATCGCAAAGAAGAGCTCCAACGGAGGCTGGCGGCGATGGAAAGCGACGGCGCCATACCGACCGCGAGCGTTATTCCTCAGACCGTGGAGGACTTGCGCGCGAAGATTGACGGCGACAGGTCGTCGGACAGCAGTTCGTCGGACAGTGGCAGTTCCGGTAAGCGGCCCATCGATCCCGTGATGGTTTGCTCCTGTTGTTCATGCTCGCCACTCGTTGTGTAGACTCGGACAGCAGCGACTCGGACACGGAGCAACCTTTGCAAAAGGTGTCTAGTTACCACTTCTAGATGGACACAGCTCGGCATCCTGATGTTGCTTGTTTTAGTCGCCATTGTCAGTTGTAAGTGGTCCCACCTCACTCTCCTCGGACTTGTCACTGGGTAAGACATTGAACCAATGTGTTGCATAGGTTGTTATTTACGAAACACCGCTTTGTGTCCTTCCAGTCGTCGAAGACCACACGACAAGCACGGACGAACCCCTCAAGGTTGAGAATCGCGGCGCGTGGACCAAGTTAGCGCGCCTGGAAGCGACCGACATGCCGTCGAGCGGGTCGTCGTCTCCGCCGACTTTAACAATCCAGTCGGACGAGAACGCATCGACGTCGCTGTGGCTGTACGCCCGTACCCTTGAACAGCAGAAGCTGCAAAAGGAGCAGATGAAGGACAACATCCAAGTGATCGCCACCGCGACGACGACACCTGCTGTTGTCGTGGACGATGCGGCGCAGCAAGACAAAGAGCGCAAGGACGAGTTAGAGCGCTTGAAACTCATGGAAAAGGCAGAACAGCTGGCGCGTGAAGCTCGCCAACGCGAACTGGAAATGTCCGTTGCGGCGCAGCGTCAAGCAGAGCGGGAGAAACTCAAGCGGGAAGTGGAGCGCATGAGTGGTGGCCGGCCGGAAGACAGCATCCTATTTCACAAAGACCTGGCAAAGTTTGGGTCGGCGTCGTTTTACTGAGCAACCACGAACACTCGTCGCATGCGCCCCCTTTCGAGCTGTTGGATAGACACGATAGATACGAGCCCCCCTTATTTAATAAATCGTACAAATACCATGTCGCCTGCATCTGCGCTAATCGCCAACGGGCTCCATGACGGCGACGCCGCGGTGGCAGCGGCAAAAGTCGCGCGGGAGTTGCAACATCTTGGAAACATCTCGTGTTCTATTGGCCAAAACAAAAAGATCCCAGTATTGTGATTGGCTGAATGTGACTCTGACGAATTCTCTTAACGGACGGTGGAGAACGAATATAAGATTGAAGAGGTTTTCCTATTTAGGACTTTTCTCTGGTTGGTCCTCGTTGGAGCGACTGAGTGCGCCAGAGAGAATAGAGGAAGACAGAAGCAGAGATGCACCCAAGAGCGCCGACGACACCGTCGTTCAGCTTCTTCCCCAGCAAGCGCTCCGGTAATCGAACGCCGGCTGTGTTGGCAGATACGATTAGGTCGCATGTCACCTGAACAGATGTGAGAGTGCAATCGTTGGCGGCAATAGGGCGTACCTTGAGCAATGCAAGAGCTTTCTTGAAGCGAACTTCGCGCAAGACCGCGATCTGTTGCAGGGTTTCAGGGCTGGTCGACTATGAAAGAGGCGCAAACATGAGTGAAGTCCATGAAGTTTGCATGTACAGGGTTGTCTTGGATCAGCGCCGCTTCCTTTTCTGCTTCCTGAACGTGATCGACAACATTGTGATGACACGCATGATGACGATACGGTAGAATTCGACACCTTTTGCAGCGCTTCGTAGGCCAAGATGAAACCCGCGACGTTGGCGCAGAACCTATGTGTATTGTCGTGAAAGGCTCATGAAGCAGTGATTCACCAATTCTTACCACAGGTACCCGCCGTGTTTTCCCGCTTGCTCGGCGTTGAATGGGAACACCTTGGCATTGGCAAAGAACTGCATGTTGTCGAACAAAAAGAAGCAGCACTACTGACGATGCGTGAACTAACCACACCATCGCGGAGTTGGCATACCATTCCCACGTCTTGCACGAGGGACAGAACTTGCGACCTTGGAGTCAGCGCCTACACACACAAATCGAGCTAAGCGGCAATACTCATTCCCATCCGTGCTGGTATGCACCTTGTTGTTGAGAGTGTGATCGATCTTTGGAATGTACGCGATTGACTTGCCTAGGCGAAAGCACTTTCGGGCAGCTTGGGTCGCCCTGTACAGAGCAGACAGCCGCTGTCCCAAGACGCTCTTTGGGTCGGCGGAGAGGATCGAAAAGGCAAGGCCACGGCTCGAGTACTGGCAGAGCTTAGTGAGCTTGTCGCGGCCTTCCAGGTGTCCGATGACGTCGAGGAACGGTTGCATGTTGCAATGGCGCCCACGTTGAGTCAACTTGTTTGCGCATCACGAAATCGGATTGGCTATTTTAACATCGATAAATCCACAGATCCCACCAATCACAATTTGCATGAAATGTATCTTGGTTGCACAATCGGAAGGATAGTTGTCCTCGCCGCGCTCTCACTAGGCAACTGGAGTGACGCGATGCAAGGGTTATTGCGCCACGCGGCGGTGCGGCGCTTTACGGATTATGCGCGACCGACGAACCTCATGGCGGATGTACATGGGACGACTCATGGCAAGAAGGCGTGGCGCAACAAACCACTGTTTCGTCGCGAAGGGGACAAGAAATTCCGCACGGGGTCAGAGGCTGCTGACATGCTGTACGTCGTCGCGCGCATTCGCCCCAATTGTTGAAACACCATCATGTAATCTCGCGCGCATGCGTATGGATAGGTATGAGGAAGCTCACCGTCGTGACCCGTACCAAACCGAGTGAGTCCCTCGATCGCGTCAACCCCGAGCATCGCGCCGTTCGAAGCTAGTCGTCTCAACATAAATCGTGTGGATAGGTTTCTCACGGCGGTTCAGAGTTTCACAGAGTCGGTCGTGCCGGTGTTTGATCGATACCCCAAGTACGCTTGGGTCATGAAGCAACTCATGGAGCCGGAGCGCGTCATTCAGGTTAGGTATCCCCATCCGTCCGTGCCTACTCAGCTCGTCTTGCTTTGCCTAGTTTCGCGTGCCATGGGTAGATGACTTGGGCAGTCGCCGCGTCAACCGTGGTTTCCGCGTACAATTCTCGAGCTGCTGTGGTAAATCCTTCCCGCATCTCCGCCATTGATGGACTCACCAACACGCGCTTCAGGTCCTTATGTTGGAGGGCTTCGCTTCCATCCGGACACCCGCCACGGCACGGTTAAGTTCCTCGCGTTTGAGAACGTGTTCCGCAATGCCGTGTACGGTCCGTTGGGCGGCGCAGCTGGCGGCGCCGATTTCAATCCCCTGGATAAGTCCGAGGCCGAAATCATGCGATTCTGCCAGTCATTTACGACCGAATTGGCCAACTATATTGGGCCTACCACGGACATCCCAACAGCCGGTGTCAACGTCGGTCCGCGCGAGCTCGGGTACATGTTTGGTCAGTACAAGCGACTTCGCCAACTGCACGCACTCGTACGATGTCAGAGTGTTCGAGGACAGCGATGCATTTTGTCGTTGTAGGGGGTCGACGGAGTGCTGGGCGGCAGTGAGTACTTTCCACACGTACCAGGACACGGTGTGGCGTATATGACCAAGCTCATGGTGGAAGCGAACGGCCAAAGTCTGGTTGGAAAGCGGTGCTTGATTTCTGGGTCGGGCACTGTCGCACTCAACACGGCCGAAAAGCTGCTGGACCTGGGAGCCATCCCGATTGGGTTCAGCGACGTGTGGGGTCACGTCGTGGAGCCTGCCGGTATGAAGGGCACGGCTATGCCAATCGACGGTCTCTTTACCAGAACGATGCAGGATTTACGCGAGAGCAACTCCACCGCCTCAAGCAAATCAAGTCGGAACACAAGGCTCACTTGGGTGGGTACATCATGACGTCCACAAGTGCCACGTACTGCCCCATCGAGGACGGCAGTTTGTGGGACGTCCCGTGCGACTATGCATTTCCCTGCGCCATGCAGCACGACATTGACGGTACGATTGTTCGTGTCCTCCACGAGGCGTGGCACGTTCATTTCGTGGACTTCACCTTGGTTTGTAGTGGATAAAGCCAAACAACTCGTCAAGAACGGATGCAAAGGGTTCTTTGAAGGCGCACATTTGCCCATCAACCAAGAGGTACTTTCGCGCTATGCGTTGTCGAGTGGTTTGGGACTCCTTCGATGCCAACACCGTGTGTTGTGCAGGCGATCAAGTTTATTCAGCAAAGCAACGCCATTTACGGACCATGCAAAGCAACGAACGGCGCAGCGGTAACTCGTGGCGCAGCGAACTCGGTGGACCTTTCTAACGCGGTGGAATGCTGTGTGTAGCTAGCGCTCCTGACCCGAACGTCTGGCTTGAGTACACTGCGTCCAGGCGATATCGATCGCATCATTCAAGGTCAGAACAGAGTGACTCGATTCGTGGTGAAGGAGGTGTTCCCCGTTTGTGGTGAATGTAGAGTGTGAGCAGCACTGTCTGACGGGTGGTGCGTTGTAGAATGCATGAACGACGTGTTTATATCCATTTCGACGACCGCGACCGAGTTCAGCCTCGCGCCAGGCGACTACCATGCTGCCACCAACATCACGGGCTTCCTCAAGGTCGCCCAAGCCATGTTTCGCCAAGGCGCGGTGTAAGCCAGCGACACATGCGATCGACCGTGCATTTGTGAGCTGTTCGTAGCCGTTTACGTTTTTGAATCGATACTGGCAATGTCGGGTGCGTTCCATGATGCTGGCATGTCGACGACGTCTGTGGGAGTTGCCCATTGCGTTGTGCTTGTGGGTGGGTGGACCCTAACGGTGTCCTCAAACACGCAACATGGGCCATGGCCGTGCAGATGAGTCGTACCAGAAGCGTCGGCAATGGGGCGGCACAGAGTCATCTAGCCACTCACGCCACTGCCACCCGTTGCCTCGTACAACCAGAAGCACAGACGACCGCACCGCGACTTGTCCGGGTCCGCAGCGATGCCGCCCACCATCGTCCTCTTCCCACATCCGTTGCCACAGGGCACTCTGCAGCGTCACCTGGCACACGAACCGCATGATGTGAGCGAGTGCCATCTCTGACAGCAGAGACAGCGTGGTCGGCTCGCGTAAATGCTTCATATCTTACCATCGTTGCGAGTTGGGCGGACGAAATGGAATCGTTTGTCCGCGCATATCGCACGGCGCGCTGCATGAAGTACCGGGCGAGCGCAAAGTTCGGACACTGGGCGTTGTGCTGGAGCACCAAGGCGTAATGAAGCAATGCGG